AAGTATGTTTTTGTGTAAAAAGTATGTAAAGTCAGACTTAACCCCATATTAACATGGCCAAAAAACCATTCGAAACCATTGCTCTGTGATTCTCTAGACCAAAAACGAAATTTTAAAATGTTGGGGTGATTACAATACAAAGCATGACGATAAGGCAAAATTGCTTGCCAGCGCCACCAAATGACTCCATATGATTCTATATAGTTCTGCGGTTGCCAGCGGTACTAATCTCTAATAGAGCGTTGCCGAGCTGTCATTATCGTCGTGCTTTGTTACAATACTTTATTGCACACATTAAATGTACGGAAAAACAAAGTAAGATAATAGATCAAGATGATGAATTTCAAATAATAATTCCCCCAAGATGAAGAAAAAACATATTTCTTACAAATTTTCTTTACTATTTTATAAAACTTAAACTGTGGAAATTTACGAGCTAAATTCAAAATTATAGTGAAACTTAGAAACTTTATCTCAAAGTGTTTTAAGAGAAAATGTCAAATTTGAACAAATTTCGTGAACTTAATCACAAAAATTTAAGTAATTTAGCAAAAACATGACTATTGTTCAAAATTTGTTTTCCGGGCAGAAAAAAATTCTCAAAAGAAAAATTCGTATGGTAAAATATTTTCCAGTCTCATTCGCTTTTTTATAAATCGAAGTTGTTGTCTTATCCAATCGCTAAAATAGGCAACATTAACGTACAATCCAGGTAGCATTTCCCCACGTCCCGTCATACCAGCAGCGATGCCTGTTTGATAAAATCGTCTCATGCCATATGGAATTCTGCAAAATAATGGTGATCCGCCGTCTCCTTTATATGTATCTAGTCTACCACCGCCTGCGCAAATCAAGCTATCATGCAAACTATAAAATGGTCCCAATCCTGTTATTCTTAAGATCGCCTCGCAATTTCCTTGATCCACAATTGGTAGTTGTATTTTTTTCGGTGTTGCATGATATATTCCATTATAATTGATCGTATTTTTGCTCCAACCGCCTGATGTGCACATCGTACCTTCATTGGTGTGAATGCCTTGTGGTGGTAAACAAATGGTATTCACAGCATCGGTCATTTTAAATGCTCTACTCACTACGATCAATGCAATGATGAGCCAATCGGCGTTTAATTCTTCGTGAATGATGACATTCGTTGCCCTTCGTTGTTGACGTGTTGTTTTCAAAATGTCATGTCCGCCGGCACGAATCACCAATTGTTCGGGTGAAAATTTCAGCAGCAAATGAGCCGCCGTTAAAATCACCGACTCATGAATCAATGAACCACCACCAAGATATTCTAGTTTACCCATTGACGATCGAGAAAATATTGCAACCATCCACGGGAATTCATTCAGTCGCATTTCTTCACCGGTGATTGTTCGAAAGGATCGGAATTTGCCATAGCCACATTTTTGGGTGGTCACAAATTTAGTCTTGCCTTCGGTTGAATCATTTTCGCTTTGATTGTTTTGCTTGTTGGCTGGTACTGGTTGATGCAAATCTCTCATCGCTTCATCCGCACAACATGGCACCTCCTTGATGTTATCACACTTCACCAATTTTTCCCTTGATTTTCGGGATGATAGTCGCCAATCAAGAGTAAGGTTGTTTACCACTTTATCATTGATACACAATGAATAGGAAATACAAATAACATTATCACAATTTATTATGAAATATAGAAGTTTTGCGATATTTTTCCGTTACTATTATCATTACTGATCTCATTTGAGTCATCCGACGGATGGACCACTTGCTTGGTGTTTGCTGGATATGCTTGCACAAAGCAAAAAAATACGGACAAAAGTAGAATTTTGTACAGGAACATTTTTTTTCACTTTTTCGATTTTCTCTTCACTTTTTAATGGTTTTCTCTCGATTTTTCAAAGGATTTTCGCCGTTTTTTTTTTTTTTGTAATTTTTTAAAATCGATTTTTTCAATTCAATATTTTTGATATTTTGGTGAATAAATTTTTTGGGCAAAATTCCTCACTTTAAAATGCTCTTCGATGCGCTTCCTTTGAACTTTCAAATATACTGTGTCAACACATGGATCTGCACTGTCTTTTAAATATGAAAATGTGCTAATTATCATTATATGAACCGCCTAGAATAAATCAGCATTACTAGATAAATGTCTTCAAATGCGTTATAGAAAAAAGTACGTCAGCAATAGTGTCAAAAACTGTACCTGTTGATTGCCATTTCTTTTCTTTCGAACCTCCTTCCATACATTTCTCTTCCGATCGAAACAAAGTTCAAATGTCATATAGTTAGGTTTAATTTAAGTCTATTTTTGCTGATTAAATCCTAATTAAGTCTGAGAAATTTGCATGTCTTGACAACAAATTATATTAGCATTGTATTTTGGATCTGTTTTATGTGAAGCAGTTGGGAATTGCCTTATTTGATAAAAAATGGTTAATAATATAGGAGATATCGTCGATGAGATTAAGTCAAATTACCTACTTAACAAAGTAGGTATGATGTTTTTGTACATGGTGCTCCTTTACAGGCTTCAAACTTTACACCGATAAAAAACATCGTTGAAAGACGATACCAGTCCACTCCTTACCATCTCCTCCAACCACCCTGCAGACTCTACAGTGTAGTAGAGTCAGATTTTTATATACGTTTCTGTGGGAACATTATCATGACCAAAACACCGTTGCTTTGTGATTCTCTATATTTTGGGGTGTTTACAATACTTTACTGCACACAGTGGGTGTGCGGAAAAGTAAAAACGTACCCAATGTTCACAAGATAAATGAATAATTAATTTTTTTTATTTATTACCTTACTAAATTACCTAACCACATTATAGTTTTTAACTCCAAATATCATACAAAAACACCAAACAATTTTTTTATCATTCAATAGATTCTAAACATGAAGTTCATGTGATGAACTAAAGTCAATAAAAAGAAATAATTGCATATTGGCTACCTGCACTACCTCCCATCTGAAATAGATGCTGCTGCATGCAAGTAGCAACATTACCGCTGATACATGCATCGCAGTCCAATCAACAGATTCTATTTGAATGTGAAATAAAAAGTTATCCGTCTTTACTTCATTCAGTGCAAATCACTCTTGGTGTTGGCACCTGTTGTTCGACAAGCTTATCTTAATCAATTATTAAAGATTCTTTTCGAATTTTTAGTATTGAGATATTCGGTAGAGCGAAACTCGGTTGAAAACGGCGACATGAATACTCAATTAACAACTGCAGTGTTGGCTTTAGCTCTTGTGTTGATATTATGCACTGAAGCAACTATTGTCCGAAAATGTTCAGGTAAACAAAGATTTTTCTCGTTATTATTTTGTAAACGGATCGCTCCAAATTGAAGATCTTTTTGTGTTTTTGTTGTGTTATTATTAAAGTATATGTGCTTTGCTTATTATTTGACTTTCAATAAAATATCGAATTAAAATGAAATAATTTGAAACGAGTGTCCATCAAATGAGTCAGAAACTTGAAAAAATTCAGAAAAGCTTAACTTTTTAGATTAAGCAATAAAAATCATTGCACAAAAAATTATGAAGAAATAAAAAAAACTTGATTTATTATTAGCCAGGCTTCCGTTTTAAAGCTACTCTGATATCCATTTAAGCGCTTGATAGAGTTGAGATTGGCATCAAATTAACCACAGTCGTCAAACTGCGCATTTTTTTATGTAATTTAAATAGTTAACGACATAGAAACAGAGAGCAAAGCTGTTATATAGTGCTTAAAGTGTAGATATTTAAGATTGTTGTGTATTAAGAGAGTTCAACTAATATTTAAATTGGATTTTTGTGAAGAGAGAAACTAATTTGTTTCCTTTTTACAGGTAATGATGACAAGCAATTGAGCGATGAAAATGTGAATTTTTCGAATTGCAGAAAAGGACGTTGCTTGCTATGGAAAGGCACCCAACTTTTTGTTCAAATAAATTTCGAACCAGGTATGTCAACACTGTCTTTTCTCTGATAAATTCTCATTTTTTCGACTTTCAAACCATCCACTTTTCAACAATTTCCAGATCATGATGTAAAAAATCTAAGATCAAGCATAGCTGGAATGATTTGGGGTATAACATTTCCATTTATTGGTGTTGATGGAACAAGTGCATGCGATAAATTATATGAAGAAGACGGAGTTACTAAAACCAAATGCCCTTTAAAGGCCGGACACAAATACGTATACAAACATGCAGTTGATGTTTTACATATTTATCCATCAATAGATGTGGACGTTCACTGGGCCCTCACCGAGGACAACGACAAAGACCTTGTTTGCTTTGAAGTACCTGCAGAAATTACCTCTTGATATTGACTTTAGATTTATTTGCTCATGGTTTTTAGTCTGTTGTAGATTTTTCACGATTGTATTTGTACTTGCGAATTAAAAGTAATAAACAGATAAAATGCGGTGTGGGGGTATTAGCAAACACGGGTTTAATTTTTTTTTAATTTCTTATCACAATTTAGATAGACAATCCGGTCCCGAAAACATACATGTTGGGAAGAAGTATGATGAATTTCGAATCAACACAATACAATAAATGTATGTTTGTTGTAACTGTATCACCGTGAAAGTTTGTGAATCTCTTTTTCATTGCAAAACACACTATCACAACAAGCGTTTGATCCATTCTAATACACTATGTGTGTACATACATCATACCACCTGAGACCTCGATCTTTAATCCACCAAATGTGACTTTTTAAAGACAAGGGAATGGTCGATAAGGAAATTATGAAAGACAAAAGAATTATAGCTGTATGAATTTTTCCATGTTATCGAATTATTTGTCCACATGACTTTTTTCCGCCAAATGTTATTTCTTCGGATGGAGTGAGAATATTTATGGGATTAAAAGATCTCTCAAAAAGTCTTTCCGTCTTTAAATTATCTTTGCACGTGGAAACCATCCTAGAATTTGAAGTAAACAGTTGAAATATTTGAATTGTTATGTTGCATAGAAACAAACCGACGGAATTTTTGTGTAAATATTCAATTGAATTTCTTTCTCAAAGTCACTGGTTTTAAATGAGGTCATAAAAGAAAAGAAGAGAGATTTTCTTTATTTCTTTATTTCTTTATTTAATTTAATGCTATATGCAAACTTACAATAAATTATAAACT